ATGTCACACTGTTAACTCTTTCAGGTTTAGATTTTACATCGGAGTATAAAATTACTCTCTTCTTGTTGACTTTACTGTGGTATTTAATTATTCTGTTGGGAAACATTAGTGTCATCGTTGCCATTGTTGTGGATAAAAACCTCCATGAGCCGATGTATATCTTTTTGGGTAATCTATGCATCAATGCTTTGTATGGGACGCTTGGTTTTTATCCCAAATTCCTTCTTGATCTTTTGTCATCTCATGTAATTTCTTATGCTGGATGCATGCTGCAGGGTTTTGTGATACATTCATCGATTTGCTGTGATTTTTCGATCTTGGCCCTGATGGCATACGACAGATATGTGGCCATATGTCAACCTTTAGTCTACAATTCATTCATGACAAAACAGAGAGTCACCATCTTTGTGTTTTTCTCGTGGCTCATACCTATTTATTGTATGTTTATGAACACAGCAACATTATTAGGATCAAGTTTATGTGGCTCACATGTGAAAAAAATCTATTGCGTTAACTGGATGATATTTACTCTTACTTGCTCACCACCCACAGCAAACATTGGAGTTACATATTTTAATCTCTTGTTTTATTTTGCACATTTTGTGTTTATTATTTGGTCTTATGTGTATTTGATAAAAACATGCTTAGGATCCACAGAAAACTGGGGGAAGTTTATGCAAACATGTTTGCCGCATTTGATCTCTCTTGCCACTTTTACCATATCTGTCCTTTTAGATTTACTGTACATGAGATATGGGTCACCGAATTTATCTCAAGATCTCAGTAATTTTATGTCAATGGAATTTCTACTTATTCCTCCAGCTGTGAATCCATTTGTGTATGGATTCAAACTTACCAAAATTCGCAACACATTTGTGAATTTTGTTTATATTAAAAGGAAAAAACGCGTGTCAACCCATGGATTTTTTTCGGACAAAAGTGTGCTCTCTGAAACTGCGACATAAACATGGGTAATGAAGTCAGTGCCTTGTGTAGGCCTATATGCAGAAAATGGAAATTATGGGGAAAATATATTTATTCAGGAAAAATCTTCTTTTCTTTTCTTGTTAGTTGAAACTGTTTGAATGTTGTTTACGTAGAATATAACAGTAGTACAGTGACATAATTGTTCAATGATCTTAAATTGCTATGTGGTGTCTGAAATGTTATGTGTTGTCTTCCCTTGAAGGACATTTATCTTTGGGTTTGAGGCCCACAGATCCTGAGAAAATCGGAGGAAGTTTAGGTTGTCTGAGAAAAACTGAATGTATACATTAGGGCATTAGATCACGGCTCTAACTGTCACCCTAAATTTGAGCTGGTGTCATTCCTTTCCTGTTACCGGACAGTCTGGAAGAAAGCCAGATGCATTTTCTTCAGATTCACTCCAGGCAGGAGAGATGCACATTGACCCCGGATCTCTCCCTAGGCAGACTGCATGTATTGATGCTGAACTTTTTGTAATAAACATTTTATACAATTAAGACGGTGTCATCGGAGATTCCCTCTTCATCTTCACATCATCGCAACCCCAATATACGACAGCTACTAAATGCAATGCATGATTTACTGTAACATGCACAAGCATATGATATAGAAATCACATTTTATCTTATAATAAACGATCCACAAAATCTTTGTTTGCATTTATCATGTTGGGCTGTTTCATTGTCAACAGGGCTGATACTCCATTCTTCAACATTCTACAGTCAGATGTGTTGACATGTCAATGCTTTTATTCCTCCATATTTTTTATGCATTTCCTACATTTTAGAAAAACTGTAAAGCTCAAACTGTACAATTGTAACTGCAACCAGCGCCACTATAGATTCCTGTGATTTGAATGTTTCTGTCACCAGGCACAAATATAAAATATAATCACTTGTGCTGTTCTATAACAAACTGAGTAGTCAATTAAGTAGGTCAGCATCTGTAAACAAGATATGTGCTGCAATATGTAAAAAGAAGCTGTGGGATGTGTCAGTAGATGATATTTTTAAATAAAAGGACTTTGAAGATGAGGTGTTTTTCTGATGGGTTCATTTCCTCAAATGTAGATAACAAAATGAAAATAGTAGCAATGGGGGCCATAAAAGCCCAAATGTTGTGCCATCAGTAAATATTAATCCCACTGTTTCTTCAGACACACTGATCTTAATAATTGCATATCTTAATGAGTGTGACAGGACAATAAAAAACTGTGTCTAAAGGAGCGACATGAGTCAGAATCAGTCCTTTCTCCTGTCTGACCTGTGTCCTCTCTCTGCTGCTGCTCTGAGATTATCTGCAGGTACCACTGGTCAAGAGGGAGTTTACCAGATTCATAACAAATTAACATTATCGCACAGACTTCAGACGGACAGCACATGAATGTGGGTCAAAACAATGTTGCTCAGAGCTATACCTTACTTTTATTGTATCACAAATAAAGCAGCCTGTCTTGCAGGCCATAGAAAAATGTAAAAGATGTGTGTTGAATATGCAACAAGTTGAACCTGTAGAGCCTGTTGCTTCCCACAACCACAAAGCTACCAACTGAGTTCCACAATTTTCTTTATTTTTGATATAAGGGGTAGACATTAGATAACGAATAGATATAGATGAGATATACACCTTTAGTAAAAGTTGAGTAAAATAGTAAAATTAAGCAAAAGTTCAGCCAGAAAGACTGTCTTCTTACACATCCCTCATAATGCCTGGGCCACACTGGGAGAAAGTGCAGGGAGGGACAGCGGCTTGCTCCTTGAATGCAACTGAGCTGCTAATGAAGGTTTCTGGTATGACGTGTATTTCCTTGAATGAAAGTCTTTGTACTTTGTACTAATGGACTCTACGGTATGAAGATGTTTATCTTCGGGTCCTACAATAACAATTAGAACTTAACGGGGAAAAAAGAATGAATTGAGTCAGTCAACAGAAACGCTACCATATTTTTACTTTGGAACAGACACAGGAAGTGTGAATATTTATGATTGTTACATATTCAACAGATGGAAATTTTAAACGAGGTGAAAGATACATTTTATTTTGTATTTTGCTGTGAACTATGCACAGCACAGACAGAATAGGCCAGACTCCTGCTCTCTAGAGCTGCTTTCAGACATGCACTCGACTCCCGAAATTCTCCACACCTTCTCCAGAGGACGTACATGTGTGAATGCAAAAGTCTCAGGATATCTGCAGACTTTCTCCACCCAGAAAGTCTGGACAATCCGATGGGAGAACACAGCAACCCCTGCTGGATTCACCGCAAGTGACTGGAGAGGGGGATGGATGAGGCCTAATAAAACAAATATCTCCCGGTCAAAAAGTGATTCCACACACATAGAAGACACTGACAAAAAATTTGCATGATCCCTGCAGCAGTATTTATACGTCACTTCCTGCCTCTGTCAACTGCACCTGGTTGCTCCACCTCTCACCTGAATAATGCAGAGGATTTGTTGCTGTTGTAAACACATCTGTGCAGAGAACGTCTCGCTGCTTGTGCATGTGTGAAACAAAACTGTCCAGATCCAATTCTCCGTACTTTATCCACTAAGCTGTTTTCAGACATGAAAACAGATTAGTAGAGCAGTGCAGCTCACACACATTTGCCTTGAGCTAGTCACCTATAAGCTGTTAAAATTTTAAATGTTCTCTCTCCCTCCTTAAACTCAGCTGTGTCAAGTCTTTAACAATATAGGTGAGTTGACAGAGAAGGTGGGGGTTATCCTGGGGGGATATGGCAGAGGAGAGGGTTCGGGTTTCGTGAGCTGCTGGCAGGCTCAATACTCGGCAAGGCAGGCAGACTGATAAACTGCACAGATAGAAATTAAGGTTTAAACGAGATTCAGAATTAGGTGGCAGAATGAGTTCATCAAAAAAGACTAGATAGCACTGTTACAGCAAACAGTTATAGAGCGAGTCGATCCTGCAGGGAGTGAGTCAGTGCAGAGCAGATATTCTGTGTGGTGATGAGCTGATGAAAACCAGGGGAGCTTGATCCCTTAGGCAAGGCAGGCAGACCAGACTGAGCTGACAGAATGCAGGGGAGTTCTCACCGATGGCATTTTGACAAGCTGTCAGATATGTCCTGGGATCAATGAGTGACCCACCTCCACCCCTATACCACTTCAACCTTGGATACTTGTTCATCTCCCATCAACCATCCAACCAGAAGCCCTTCATAGTGATCCAAACCTTATCACCTCCATAGTGTCTGCTCCAGGGAGAAGTCTCCTTCATAGTCAGACCAACAAAGACTATTCCTCTTGTTCACAATAAATGTAATTTCCTTTATTCATTCTCATTTGATTCTTTATGTGTCTCTCCTGATTGAAAGACCTCAGGAAGGATAAAGGCAACATGCACCACAAGACACTTACTCGCCATTATGATTTCACCAAAGTCTGTTTTTGTGCGAGTGCAGACATGTGAACACCACCATAACTAGTAGGAAGCTGCTACATTAGCCAGATTTACATTTGGTTGACAAACAAGACAAACGAGATCCTATTTTAATTTGTCCATATGCCTCATTCACTTTCTTTGGACTTTAATGTCCTTTCATGATCAGTCGTGAATCTTAAACTGACCAATCATCATGAGACCAATGATAAGGGGAAAACCAGCCTCCCTGTAAGAAAAATGAAAGAAAAAATTGTGTAACTTTTTGTCGAGAGACAAGTGACAAGGTTTTCGCTTCATAAGCTCCATTAATTCCAGTTAATAGAGAACTACCTCGCAATTGCACTCCAGGTGATTTGCAGCTACTTTTGGTGCAACAAGCTCTCCATAGATGACCTCTGGTATTACCTTGGTATTTTGGTAAACAGCTGTGCGTGCGGATAGATGCTTAGTGATGAAAGGGTTTCCAGACCACTGATTGGTTGGTTTTAATTCCCAGTTTGTCGATACTGTCCTCAGACAGGATACTAAGTGAGATGAGGAGACTGACCTTGTGTGTTAGTCAGGGAGGTATACTACAAAGGGAGGAAAGTAAAGTTTTCTTTCTACTCATGATGGATAATGTCTCTGTGATAACAATATTCTACCTTTCAGGTTTAAATGACAAAATGAGCSASAGGTTTATTCTCTTCTTTCTCAGTTTGTTGTGTTACTGTGTCATTTTGCTGGTAAATATAACTCTTATTGTGACCATCATCTYGGATAAAAACCTCCATGAACCAATGTATATTCTGCTGTGTGCATTTTGCATGAATTCACTTTATGGAACAACAGGTTTCTTCCCCAAATTTCTGTGGGATCTGCTCTCTCCTGTTCATGTCATCTCTTATTCTGGATGTTTTCTTCAGGCTCAGGTACTGTACTCATTTGCAGCCAGTGAACTCTCTTTTCTTGCAGTGATGGCATATGACAGATATGTGGCTATATGTCGACCACTGCAGTATAACTCTGTCATGTCAAAGCAAAGACTCATAAAGTTACTGTGTTTCTCCTGGTTCACACCTTTCTGCATTATAGGCTCAAATATTTGTCTGACATCCAGACTGAAGTTATGCAGCCCGTATATTGCCAGACTCTTCTGTATGAATTGGATCCTTGTTGCACTTGCTTGTTTCCCAGCTGAAACTATTATTAACAACATAGTTGCATATATTTCAATAATCATTTATGTATTTCATGGTGTATTTATAGTTTGGTCCTACATATTTCTCATTAAAACATGTGTAAATTCTAWAGAAAACAGGGCAAAGTTCATGCAAACATGTGTGCCACATTTACTCTCCTTGATCACTTTTCTTTTCACWATACTKKWTGATRTKATRARTATRCGTTTTRGTTCAAAAMAMWTACCTCWACCYYTWAAAAACTTTKTTGCAATAGAATTTCTTGTCATACCTCCAATCATGAATCCTCTCATTTATGGTTTCAAATTGACCAAAATTCGAAACAGACTTCGCGGAATTGTTTTTTTTAAAACCAGTCTTGGTGTACATTAAGGAAATTTAAAACCATGTTTGCAATGCACATACTTTTAATATGCACTGCTAGACCAGCTGTTATTTGTAAGTTAGTTACATATCTAACTTTTTATTTTAAATTAAAATTGGTATTGATGTGTGTAAAATATTCTTTATGCTCAAGGTTTAGGGTGATTAGTCCTCTGCCTCTTTTTATTTAGTACTATTATTAAATCATTTTGTATTACCATTTTGTGTATGTCTACTCCCTTGATTCACATTCATTTAAATATTAATTCAAATGTACTGTTGTTGTTTTTTAAGAAATGATGTGCAAATTTCATAGTATAAGTCATAAGGAAACTATTTTTTTAAGTTGGTATTATGATATGTCTAATAAAACAAGACTTGTGAAAGGTGAAAGATAAGAGTAGCCAATGTTCAACATTTTCATTTAACACAGAAGCACCCAGTGAACATTTCTGCTGTAAACTTCCATGGGAAAAAAAAACATAAACATACATACTATCAAATTAACTGCAATAGTTTATTCCAACATTTTGATTGYGCCAAAAAGCAGCATTCTTGAGTATGTCCTGGCCTTCACCACAATACATTCAACTACTATASTACAAGTATTCAGGCCTAGTATACATTAAACCAAATGGCAATAAAAGATGTAATAATATCTGTTATTTTGGGTGGCTGGGATTGGTATTAAGATTAAAACTTTACATGTTTTTATTTTACATGAAATATAAAGTTGTAATCAGACTTATTGTCAGCACAAGGAACTGTGTGATATAATTCTAATCATACGATTCCTCTGACAAACCCAAAAGTAGAATTTTGTTTCCACCATAGGCAATTTGCTATACATTTTTTCAACCCTATTATAAATTATAATCAGTATATTAGATTGTTTTTATTCCCCACAATTATTATTCCCTGAGAATTAACAGGCTGATTTCAATAAATAATTTGAAAGCCTGATTAAGTGAAATTTGTTATTTTAATGCAGCTTATTATTTTCACTGTTCACTGTTCTATTCACCTAAACTATTGTGATTGTTATCGAAAACCAGGTTGATGTTAATGTTATTACCTTTTAATGATCAAAACAATCAAAGTAATCTGAGAAATCAGTTAAATAACACACTTGCTGCCTCTTTTATTACATCCTATAACATTATAAATATTCTGTGTAAAGGACAGAATACATTCATGGTGAAGATCAATTCACTTTATTTTGACTTTTTTGGCATTAGAGTCAAAATTAAGTCAACATAAACGTGCCATACGTTGTTGATCAGGAAATCAAATGCTTCCACAATCATTAGGTAGGCAAAAGGATAAAGATGCATATAAACAACAGCAACTGGGTCATCYCTGCTCTTTTGGTTCTAACAGCACACTATATCAAAGCTGACTTTGTTTGTTCTCATTATATAAGAAAATAAAATCAACTTAGATGTTACSGAATAAAAAGGAACATATATAAAGGGGCATTCAGGTACGATTCAAAATGTTGTTTGGAACACAGGAACAGACCAACACCATTTCCCTGCAGCTTGACACTTTGGCCCCCTCTGTTAAATCACATGGAATAAATCTTGGACTCTGTTTTGGAGTTGATTTAAGACTGAAGATTGGCAAACATATTAATCAGATACTATAATTACAATATTTACTGCTCTGCATAATTTCCAAGCTCAAATAAATAATCTTTTAATTCTTCTTCTGCCAAAATGGGGAAACAATTTCCTACTTTCATATCCTCCCATCCTTAATCACTGCAATTCTTTGG